GGGCAGCTTAACCCCACGGCTGTGGCCAAATCGCAGTGTGAGGGGGCCTCCCGCGCCCACAAAAAACGTGGGCCAAATACCTTAAGGAGACGTCCACCCAGGACACTCTCCAGAAGGTGCTAGGACGTGCAGAGAATGAGGGATCCGGTTCTTCCCAGGGAGGTCGCCCTCACAATCCAGGCTCGGTTGCTGGCCCTAGTGGTGCTGAGAGGGTTGAGGACCCCTCCCCTCAGCCTTTTCGCACCCGGGAACAGTCTTCCTCCAAAGGCCAAAGCAAAAAAGGCAGGAACACCCAGCCTGCTCCGAAAGCTGCTGACCACGGCCCGCCTGCTACCACTCAGGTGGCACCTAGCACAAAGGCCAAACGGGCCTCGAGCCTCCCTGCGAGACCACCGCCGGGCAGAGGGTCCGAGGTTCCCTCCCCTGCGCTGAGGGAGCCCGAGTCATCCCCTCAGGCCAGCTTGAGGGCCTTTAGGGTCAGCGGTAGTGGTTCCCACACCGCGAGGGAGGCCCACATAGAGACCTCTGGGCACCACGACCGGGAAAAGGAAAAACCTGGGGAGAGAGAGCGGAATCCCGCACGAGCGTCTGGTTGCAGGGCCCCTAGACCCTCAGGCTCCAAGTCCTCCGCCCTAGCCCCTTTTTTCTCAGGTCAACCCAAGGCCCCCGAGGCTCCTGTGTCCGTTGGTGATGTTGGGGAAGGGTCTGCTGCACCCACCCCGAAGCCCAAGCCGAAGCCCAAGCCTGTGACTCAACCTAAGCTCCGGCAGTTCTGGGCCCAAGGTGGGAAGCCTTAGGAAGCCGTAGCCTTTGTAGGCACTTTCCTTTTGGGCCCCATTTCCCCCTTGTCACCTGGGACGCAAACACCTACCTCAGACGCAGTTCTCCCCAAGCCTTTAAAGCGCAGTAGCTGCAGTTATGGCCCACGTGCACCTCTCGCTTCCCCGGCCTTAGCCCTCTCACTTATCGAGATGGGCTGGGAATGGGAAAGGAGGTGGTGCTACCACTCCTGGAGATGGGTCTGGCGAATGGTTTGGAACGGACCAGAACCGTTTGGGGCTGATTTCTGGGAGCCCCCAGCCGAGCCCCCAGCAGATCAGACCGCCGGTCACAGCTCCAACTCGGGAGCTTGTGGTGATACCGGTGGCTCTGATGGTCCCACCACCGGCTGGCAGGACTGGCAAGGTTGGTGGGACGAGTGGGACTGGACCGACCAGGCTGGCGACACCGGTGCCAGCGGGTCCAGGGACATCCCACCCGCCTCCTCTGAAGGGCGTGGTCGCTCCACCCCTTCAAAAGGGCGAGGCAAACAGCCCTCCGTCCACAGGGAGGACAAGGCCCTCGTCCAGGCCTACCGGAAGCATGTGGACGAGCGTGCCAAGAAAAACCCCGATGCGAAGCGGGTTTCGGTTTCCAGCTTTGTGCGGAACCGGAAACGTCCCCCTCGCAGCCAGAGGGAGGCCCTAAAGGCCGAAAGGGAAGGGTCCAACCCTCCCAAGGCCTCGGTGGACGGCAAGCCGCCCAGAGTCCGCACCCCTCCGCCTTCCAGGCGGACTGGCGGCAACAGCAAAGGGGCGGCAAAGGCTGTGAAAGCCTCTACAAGCTCCACGGAAAGCTCCGAGAGCAGCCCCCCGACGGCACCGACGGAGCCTCAAGAGCCCGAAGACCAGGAAGAGATGCTGCCCTGGTCCCGCCGTATCGTTCAGAAAACGACGGCGGTAAAGTCGTCGGCCAGGGCCAGGTCGGCCAACGACCCACCCAGCAGCTCTGGAGAGGAGATGGAGCCTGACCCACCCTCTGCTGCGCCGGGTCCCAGTGCCGTGAAGGCACCCTCCGACCAGGAGGCCACCGAGGTGCCTACAGCTGCACCCATGGAGGAGGTGCCTGCCAAAGACGAGACCACCACCAAGGATGACCCCGTATCCGGGGCTCCGGTCTCAACAGGCTCAACCTCCCCTTCCAGGGTCGAGGAAGGAACAGGTGGTCCCAGCCGCGACACGTCCTCCGCAGGACCCGCTACCGCAGCCAACGAGCGGGATCCTGCTCCTCAGGAGGCGCCACCTCACCCCGGGGCGTGAAACCCCGCCCGCTGGCCCCCCGGTCTCCTACGGCCCAGGGGAGGGGACCCAGTCTCCCCAAGCTCCTCCTAGCAACCCACCACCTGCCAGTGCATCGAGGGTTGAGGAGCCTCCTCCCCTCCCTCCTCCTCCCCACCCTCCCGAGGGGTGCATAGAGTGTCGCCAACCGCCGGAGGCGCGATGGATCGCCCTGGCCGTGAGGTGCTCAGCCTGTGTCGCAACAGGCTCAAGCTGGGGGGCTTGGACTGCCTCCAGGTCTGGCCAGACGAGGCGATCCTGGACCTTCGGTTGCCCGTGGGCGACCAACTCCGCGAGGGTGAAAGGACCCTCATGGCTACTGGGCCTTCGGCCCTGCAGCCAGAGGTCCCCGAGGCCAGCGAGCCCTCCCTCAGCGAGGCTGCGGGGTCTACAGGAGGGACGGGGTGCCCCCCCCCTCAAGAGCCTTCTTCAGCTCTTGTAGAGGATGTGGAGGCACCACCCTCGTATGGACCCCACCGTGCAGTCAACAGCCCGGATGGGCTCTTTTGTTACGCTTGTAGGGTCGGGTGCCCTACAATCGAACATATGCAAGCCCATTTCATGACCCCCGGGCATCAGGAGCGGGTCAGGAGGTTTTTGGCCTCCTAGCCTCCCCTCTCCTTTGCAGAGGCAGGAGGCTCTGCAGGGTGAAGGGTTCCTCCCCTCCGGGTGAGGCTCCCTCCCTGTTGGACTCTCGTCCTGTTTCACTGGGATGTGGCTCCCCACTCCCAGGAAGTGGCTACCCACTCCTGCCAGTAGCTCAGGTAGGTCAGGCAACCTGTAGCTCAGGGTAGGAGTAGCCACTGCCGCCACTTTGGCGATGCCCGCAAACGCGGATGGCTCCAAAATACTTGGAGTTAAATTGTGCATGTCGGACAAGCCTACGGGCTGCTTCTGCGAAGCGTGCGTGAGAAAATCCCATTTTGGCTCAAGCCATTTGGCTCAAGTTTCGGCTCAGACTTTGCAGTGCCGCCGTGGCCTTTTAGCCTTGGGACCCACTTTGTCTAGAGGCTTCAAAGAGTCCCCAAACCCAACCTGGTAAAGGTCGTAGGCCTGACAGCAGGCAAGGGTTTGGTGGGCGGCCCGGTAGGCTGTTTCACTGCACGATCTGAGTGAGGTCGATCCTCCTCTTGCCGAGTGCACTTCTAGAGCTTGGAAGTGGGCACCACTCCTTGCTTGCGTTCTGCAGCCACTACTTCTGGTAGTGGTTTCCACACCAGCTCGCAGCCATGCCGCGCACTCCCAAGTGGATCCCGTGCGCCTGTGGGTACCACTGGGCCTGGAAACGCCAGGTTGAGTCAGGGGAAAATACCCACTGTGCGTACTGCGGCAGAAACTGGCAGAAGCAGCTGGCAAAGCAGCAAGCAAACAAGGAAGCCCGTACCGAGAACTCCCAGAGCCCCCGAGCTGTCTGGGAGGACGGTCGCACCAAAGGCAAAGGAAAAGGAGAGGGAAAGGGTTCTAAGAACCCTCCAGGTGGCAAAGTCGGCGCGGTACTCGCGGGTCTTTGGAAAGACCTACCAGAGGCTGCCCAGAAAGCCTTTCAGGAGGTCGGGTACAGCCCACCTCGGCCGAAAGGGCCACCGCCACCCCCACCAGGACTGGACCTCCAGTCCCTCCTTAAGGGTAGGATGACCGAGAAGGAGTACAACGCTGCCAGGGCCGTGGTCTACGCGGGGGCAGGGCTCCACGTCCAGACCCTTTTGGAGGCCGCGGGGATCCCCCCTCCACCAGATGAGGACCTCGACCGGCCAGAACCCACGCCCCAAGAAAAGCTGACCAGGTGTGTCAGCGACTTCAAGAAGGCCACCAACCAGATGAAGAATCTGGTGGAGAAGAAGGCCAAGCTCCAGGCACGAGCGGACAAGCTCAAGCAGGAGCTGGAAAAGCTCATTGGGGACGTGGACCAGGTCGACAAGGACATCAAGGCCAAGGATGTCGAGATCCAGGAGACGGCCAAGGCTTTCAAGGAGATGACGGCGGACTCCACCAGCACCGCCTTCAGCGCCCTGGAGGCGGTCCTTTCGGAGGCCGGCCACGAGCTCAATGAAGCCACCCGCGCCAAGATGAAGGCTGCCCTGGGCGGGAAGGAGGACCTCCCTCCGGACCCCTTCATTGTGAGTTTCAGAGGGCATGATGAGTACTTCCCTCGGGAGATGCCCCCCATGTACGGGCCTGCCCGCACCGATCCGCATGGGAAGCGCCCCACACCTTTGGAAGGGACGAAGCCAGAGGGAGCTGCAGGCAGCGACAACCCCGAATAGGGGCGCCTAGGCGCAGGGGAACCCTGCCTTCCCCCTGGCCCTTTCTGGGCCACGGGCCCCCAGGCAGATTTTGCAAGGGCAGCCGCCCCATCAGGCCCTTCTCCGTTCGTCATTGGAGGTTTTGCAGGCCTTATCCAGCAACCAACTTGCTCTTTTACCGAGGGGGAGTGGTCCGCCACCCTACCTTGGCCAGGTGTCACACAAGAGTAGAGTTTTTTGCAAGTTTTGCAAGAGTGATCTGCACGACCTAGGCAGCACTCACTTGTTTTGCGCGTGTTGCAAAGTCTTTCATAAAACCCCGACGGCGTTGCGTTGGGAGTCAGCGCCTGCCCGATTTTTCAGGGCGCCCTACCAGCCTCGTCCCTTGAGGCCTGGGCCCGGTCTTTTGATTAGGGGTCGTGGGTTAACCACCCCCTTTTCTTCAACCCTGGCGTCGCAGGGAGTCCTCACGCCAACGTGTTCGGACAACCAGAGCGCCCAGGATTTCCCCCAGGCTCTCTGGGCCAAAATTTTTTCCAACCGGTTGGGCCCTGGACCCTGAGCAGGAGGCCTCCGCCCCAAGCGGTACCTTGGAGGTGCTGCCAAGGGGCAATGTGGCCCCCACGGGTTCGGGGTTCACCCCACCCACAACCCCCGCCAGGCCGGTGCTGTGTTTGGCCAAGGCCCTTGACATCAGCCCGTCTCGCGGGGTTCGTAGCACGGCTCACAACCCACGTGGGCGGCGTAAAGTGCAGCAGGACTTCCTCTGGGAGTCCACCCGAAAACATCGAGCTGCCCACCGGGCTAGGAGGCAGCAACAGGCCAATTCTCTTTTTTGGCACTCCTGGCCTCCTGGGCCTGAGCCTCCCAGCGCCAGACCGAAGGAACAGGGCCTCACTTCGCCCCCTTCCCCCCCTGGCGACCCAGGGCGGAGGCCCCATACCCCTCCTGGTCGGTCTCCTGCGAGACTTAGGAAGCGTAGGCCTAGCACCCGGGGGAACGTGGGCAAGCCCCTCCCTGACCTCGAGCCTGAGGCAAATCCAGTTCAGGCCCTTGCTGCAGGGCTTGCGGATGAGCTTCGGACGAACAACGACTGGAGTAAGTCCGAACCCCAGGCTCTAGCCCTCGCTGAGGCCCTGGAAGGAGCTGACGAGGCCAGCTTGGGCTACCGGGTCTCCTACGAGATTCTCGAGGCCATGCAAGGCCAATCGTGGCTGGACCCCATCACCGCCGCGGCTTTCCTGGACGACCTCACGCGGCCCAAGGGCACAAGCGATGCCAAGAGCCCGTTGTGTTTGTTAGTGCCAACATCACAACGTGGACTTCGGATATTCTCAAATGGCACCAGCCGCAAAAAGGGCCCCTTCTCATCCAGGAGCTGCACCTGGGAGATGAAGGTGCCAAAAATCTGCGCATCGAGGCTCTCGCCAGAGGGTACCATACTTTCCTCCCCCCGGTTGAGGGCCCCAGACCCACAAAAGGGGGACTGGCCACACTTGTGCCCATCCACCAACAGGGCCGTTTCAGAGGAGGGTACCTCTCTGACGAAGGGATCGGTTTCTTGATGGTCGAACTCCCCAGAGTTCGCCACTCCATCCTTTTGGTGAACCTGTACCTAAAATCAGGCGTTGGCATCACTGGGGCGCCCAACCCGGAAGTCCTTGCCCGATTGAAGCCCCTCCTGCGCCAAAATTCCAACTGGATTGTGGTTGGGGACTGGAATTTCCCTTCGCAGGAGCTGGCGGAGACCACCCTGCCTGAGGCCTTTCGTGGGCGGATCGTCGCACCTCCGGAGGCGACGATAACTACAGGTAACTGTCTTGATTTCGCCCTGGTCTCCACCAGTGTCGCTTCCCTGTTTACCTGTGCTGCCAGTTGGCAGGTGCCCTTCCGGCCTCACGCTGCCCTGGAGTGCTGTTTTAACACCCCCGGGGGCCAAGTCGCCTTGAGGCAACTCCCAGCGTTTCCTGGGGTGCTCAAAACAGACAGCACTGATCCCCAAACCGGGGCCACCGGTCGGACTGACAGCCTCACCCAGGACTCGACCTTGTCTCAGCTAACCCCCGGTGGCGGCCCTTTGCTTGGTGCTTTCGGGTCGGAGGTGATCCAGGGCACTCTGGTCAACCGCAAATTCGCCGAACTCACTCACCGGTTTGCGGTTGAACACTTCACCAAACCTGGTGGGCGTGGGTGCACCCGGCCCTTCGTGTACAAACCCCTCATGCAACCGAAGGAGGGCTACCCGTGGCACGGCAAGGAGGCGGCCTGGTGGCAGAAACTGCAACTCGCCTGGGACAACCCAGGCACCAGCAAAGCCCGCTTCGAGGCCCTACGACGGTGTTTCCCACCGTCGTGCACGGAGGTGCTGCAGGCCCAACTTGAGAGTGCCGGCCTCTCCGGCCTCAGCCCGGAAGAGGTGCTCTGCAACGGGGAAACCAAGGGTGACACCCGGGCCGGGATCCGCGCTGTTGTCAGGAGCATGTGCCAGGCCGCCATCGAAGAGTCCAGGTCCCGCGAGACACGGGACTACCAGGAGTGGCTTACTGGAGCCTCAGTGAAAGGCCTTCGGCCGCTCTTTCGTACGGTCAAAAAGCAGGAGGCTGAGGTTGCCCGCCCATTCGTGGACGAACCGGCTGAAGCCCGGCCCTACCTCCGACTGCAGCAGTGGGCTCGCCTTTGGGAGTCGAAGGGCCAGCCTCCTCCTCCCATAGGGCCTTAAAGAACGGGCCATTGCTCAAGCCCAGAGACTCCCGGGCTGTCACTGGATAGGAGTTCCAGCGGCTCATTCGTCGCCTGCCCTTAAAAGCGGCGGGTGCGGACGGCTGGTCCCTAGAGCTGCTCAAAGCCCTGACACCAGGTGAGGTTTCCTCTCTGGCCTCGTTTTGGAGGGAAATCGAAACCACGGGAGAGGTGCCACAGCAGATGACATTCACCATCTTCACGATGCTCGCTAAAAACGAGAAAATCGAAAGACCGATTGGTTTGATGTCTTCGCTCCTGAAGCTTGGGATGAAGGCAAGATGGCACCTAGTTGAAGCGTGGCTTCGCGACTATCGCGCTGAGCTTTGGTGGGACTGCGCTTTGCCGGAGCGCTCCACCTACGATGCCTCACTGCGGAGAGGCGTCTGCTACGAAGCCGCGCGCGTCGACGGTCTGCATCGGTGCTCGTTGTTTGTCGACTTGAGTACCTTTTATGAGACTGTGGTTCACTCCACTCTCTGCGACGCCGCGCTCACGGCCGGATTCCCGGACCTTTTGCTTTTCCTTGCTATGGAATCGTATCGCGGCGGCAGAGTGATCCTTTCCGACGAAGTCGCGTCGCCCGTTGCTTTCGCTCGCCGCGGAATTATAGCGGGCTGCCCATTAGCCCCTACCCTGAGTAAACTCGCTGTGGGCGAGCCGATTCGGCAGTGTTGCTCTGGACCGCATGTCAACCACGTAGATACGTGGATAGACGACATCACGGTAGATACTGAACATCACAGCCCGGACCAAGCAGCGAACTCAGTCATTAGGGTCTTCAGACGGCTTCATGCCTCGCTTTCCGCCGCTGGGTACCAGGTATCTATCGGCAAGACCTATTTCCTGGCGAGCAGTCCCCTAGCCGAGCGCGCCTTGCGGCGAAAGTTGGGTGAGGGTGACCCCCCCATTCAGAGTGTTGCCAAAGACCTGGGCATGACGCTGTCAGCTGGCAGGAGACGGTGCACCCGCCTCTCCACGGCGCGGCGGACTAAAGCCAATGCCAGACTGGGCAAGCTACGCAGCCTTAAGGTCCGCAATATCAAGGCCAGCAGCCGGGTGTTTTCCATGTCCGTGCTGGCATCGGGGATCTGGGGACACCAGGCCCAAGGGGTGAGCCCCAAAACTATGAAATCGGTGCGTCTCCAAGCTGCCGCCATCACTGGCAAGGTCGGAACGGGCAGCGTCGAAATCGCGCTGGAACTTGGCGCCTGGCTGGTAAAGGACCCCCGGGTGGCAGTGGTCACACAGCACTTTAAGGCCCTCTGTCGGGTGATGGTCCGCCTCCCTGACCGTGAGCAGCTGGACCGCACGTGGGCTCAGCTCACTACCCAGCTCCAAAGGAAAGACAGATGGCGAGTGGTCTGTGGACCGCTGGGGGCCTATCTGCTGGATCTCGGGCTTGTGGCTCCCACCCCGGACCGTTGGTTATTCCCCGCCGACCTGTGTCCAGCTACCTTGGCTGGGGTCCCTGAGGACCTAGGGATGGTGGCCCTCAACCCCCTCCTACGGAGGCACTGGTCCGCCATCCTCTCTTGCCTGACCAGCGCCTGCCACAAGGCCCGGTGGAAGGCCATCAGCACCCAAACGGGTTGCAGCAGTCTGGCCTCAGGTGTGGATACGACGGTCCCCACAACCCTGGTGAAAAAGGCCCCGCGGATTAAGTCTGCCGCCCTGAGAATGGCCTGGCAGGGAGCTCTGAAAAACCGGCATGTCCAGGCTGGCCAGCAATGCCCCCTGTGCAAGGTGCCCCTCACCCAGCACCACGTTGCCACCGACTGCAGATGGTGGCGAGGCAAGGCACCCCCCCCTCCCAAACACTGGGAACGCCTCACTGCCCACTTCCCCTTCGACTGCTTATGGGAACGGGGCCTGATGCCAGCTCAGGCCACCCAGCTTCAGGGGTACTGCTGGGGCCCACAGTCGGAGCGGGCCGTTGGTGTCTGCAAAGAGGCGAAGTGGCCAAAGGGGCTTTTCTATTCGACGGACGCCTCTGGCGGGCCCTACGCGGCCGACGCCAGGGGCAGGATAGTGGCCTGGGCCATCTGCGCGTTCACCTGGACGGAGGGTGCCCCTCTCCAGGTTGGCCAACTCACTGGCCTCCTCCCCCCTGGGAGTTCTGTGTGCGAAGGGGAATGCTTCGCGGTCGCAAGGCTCACCTCGCACTTGGAGGAGCGGGCAGATTGCACCTCCGACTGTAGTGCGGTGGCCAAGCAGCAGTCACGCGCTGTCAAGCCATGGGTATGGGCCCAGGCCCTTGATAATGCGTCTCTGGCGCAAGTCACGTGGACCAGGTCCCACACCACGGAGGCCGAACACGCGGCTGAATTCGGCCCCGACCAGAGCTGGCGCCGGACTATTAATGCCCAGGCTGACGCCGCATGCGGCGAAGCTGTGCTAGCCGCCATCGCCCACTTACCACAGTGGGATCCATCCCCTGCAGATGATTTGGCGCGAGAGGTGGCGCAACACCTCCAACGCAAAGCCGAAGTTCCTGAGTACCGACAGGCCCCCATGGGAGGCCGTCGGTGACAGCCCGGTAAAGGGCAAGGGGTCTCCCCGCCCTGATGCCAGGCTCAAGGCGAAACAGGCCAAACCCCCTCAGAGGCAGCATCGACCTGGCGCGGATGGGGGCATTAACAAAAAACAACGCCTGGAGGCCCTAATGGCAGGGGAAGGCCACCATGGGCACCAATTCGAGTGGAGCCATACGAACCCCAACAACCACTCCCTGGTTTGTAAGGTTTGTTCCCTCTTTATCCAGCAAACCCACTCTTCCGAGGCCTTCCGGCGTCTGGAGGCCCAGCCGTGCGCCCACCGGCCGCTGCCCGATCTCAGCAACTTTGGCCTGCACGCGTCCCACTCCTTCTACTGCATGGGGGCGGTCCTCCTTTGCACTAAATGCTATGCGGTCCACAAGCCAGGGCAGCTTAACCCCACGGCTGTGGCCAAATCGCAGTGTGAGGGGGCCTCCCGCGCACACAAAAAACGTGGCACCCAATGGGCGGCCAAATACCTTAAGGAGACGTCCACCCAGGACACTCTCCAGAAGGTGCTAGGACGTGCAGAGAATGAGGGATCCGGTTCTTCCCAGGGGGGTCGCCCTCACAATCCAGGCTCGGTTGCTGGCCCTAGTGGTGCTGAGAGGGTTGAGGACCCCTCCCCTCAGCCTTTTCGCACCCGAAAACAGTCTTCAAAGGCCAAACGGGCCTCGAGCCTCCGCCGGGCAGAGGGTCCGAGGTTCCCTCCCCTGCGCTGAGGGAGCCCGAGTCATCCCTTCAGGCCAGCTTGAGGGCCCTTAGGGTCAGCGGTAGTGGTTCCCACACCGTGAGGGAGGCCCACATAGAGACCTCTGGGCACCACGACCGGGAAAAGGAAAAACCTGTGGAGAGAGAGCGGAATCCCGCACGAGCGTCTGGTTGCAGGGCCCCTAGACCCTCAGGCTCCAAGTCCTCCGCCCTAGCCCCTTTTTTCTCAGGTCAACCCAAGGCCCCCGAGGCTCCTGTGTCTGTTGGTGATGTTGGGGAAGGGTCTGCTGCACCCACCCCGAAGCCCAAGCCGA